CTCTGTTTACGTCACTCCGATTTGGGCATGGAAAACAGTACTCTCTTCGGCAAACGATGGCTCGGCATACGTACCACATGTCCCAACCAACGCAGCTTCTGGTGCTGGACACATTCTCCCAATGGAAGACCCGTTACACAACCGAAAACACGCTTTTTATCTGCCTCGTTAGGGTTAGGTTCCTGGTGAAGACAGCTGACCGGCTGTGTGAGCGGTCCCGTAGCAGAAGGAATAGCTATTTACGTATGCTAGGTTTTAAATGAACGAACTAGCGTTTGTTTACAATCAAAATCTAAACCCATCTCAACCTGGCGCCAGTTCAGGAAGAGGTACGATCGACACATTTTCAGAAGTGCAGTAAAGGGTAGTCACTTTAGGAGGAAAGATATAGGCAAATACATTCAGTATTGGGACCAAAACAACTGTACATCTTGCAGTCCCGGTGGTCTCGCGAAAGATGATATTTCCATCCGGATTGGGAAGGCCAAAGCAAATATCGTGAACCTGCGTCACCTGTGACGTAGGCGTGATATCAGCTTATCCATCAAAGGTCGAGTTTACAGTGCTGCGGTGCGCTCCATATTACTATATGTATCAGAAACCTGGCCGCCTCGTTGCCAGCGATTCTTCAGTCTAGGTTATACAACTTTTATTGCTGGTTGGTTCTCTGGCGGTGCCTGGGTTTTCAGAAGTCCGGCGGAAATGAGTTCGTCTAATGGTATTTAGGAAAAATAACTTACCCTCGATAGATGAACTGATCACACTACTGCGTATGCCAGTCGACTGACTTCCTCGAAGGGCTCTTTTCGCACAACCATGTGAACTGTGGAAGAGAACCAGAGGCGGTTAAAAAACGACTTGGCAGCGAAGTGTGAAAGCCATTACCAGAAAATTCAGCTGCGCTGGTCATTGCCGTCTCCCTGGATGGGAATCCTGAGACGGGCCATATCAATGGTTAGGAACATTGCCAGACATGACCTAGTCGCACCCTCAATGGGGCTCATGCATCCAAGCTTATTGCCCTCAATGCATAGCTCCCTTCCCAACTCCCCATTTAACAGTCCACCTACAGTGCTGTATTTACGCACCAATTTATCAGCTTCCGTCTTCATGCGCAGCTACCTATCGGTGAACGACACTGCAGCAGCTTCAACCACTGTACGGAACGACCCGAGCTACAATCACTGTACGACAAGTACGCAGCTATTACAGCTGATAATGATGATGACACCTTGCAAGTAGGAAGTGGAACAGATCAAAAAAGTCGTTAAGCTGGCATTGTTGCGCATGCGATCTATCTTCAACAAACAAGTGGTGTTCAAAAACGCTGTGAGTGATTTCGTCTTATTGTGGTCAACCGAAGTAAGTGATAACCAAAGTGTTGCCTGGGTGGTTTTCGTATAAACATTGGATTAGTTCCAATTAGGGTAGGATACCTCCGAATTACGCCTCAAAAGCCGATTACTTCTTGATTCAAAAGCTGTCGAAACATAATCGTCAGGTCCTTTTATTAGCGAATTACACTCACCACACTTATTGCGAGCCTCCAGTCCAAAAGTGCAGCTGAACTCAGTTTTAAAAAACACCTATCAGAATTTGACAAATTATTCGTCACCGGCCAAGTGCGCACTAACTTTTGTAGTTTCATTTGGACTATTATGGAACGATGCGAGCTGAGGATCACTCAAATGAGCCACCAACAAAACATGTCTTCAGAGCAGAAATGCCTAGTATCAACATAAACGGCAGAAAGTTCTGAGAGGTTCTAAAACTGGCCAGTGGTCTCCAGCACCGTTCTTAAAGGTCATATCTTGAGCGTAGGGTGAGCCGAATCAACAGCGGTGCAATTTATCGTGACTAATTACTTTCTTAACGGTATGAAAAATTTTTAAGCTGCGCGGCTCAACCAAAACTTATTTGAGCTTCCGTAAATGATTTTCATCTCATAGCCCCACACATATTGTGGCGTGATATCCAAACGCAACTACATTAAAAATAAACGTACAAAACACCTTTTGTTTCGCGGAACTTTGTCAAAACAGTTGGCGGCATTTTGGACTTTTCCATTCTCCACGGTTACAACCGGCTTATTATGATTTGTTTGTTACTTTGGTTGGTTATTGTGTGCACCACCGCAGTGAACTATGAAACCATAAACGCCTAAACAAACAATGCAGAAGTAGGCAGCAATTGCTACGCACTGCTTCCGTTGTCTAAGCATTTCGGCTGAAACGTCGCGAACTGCGTCATACAGAATTAAATGTCACCTTACAGATTTATGGAAGTCTGCAAATTTTTTTGCGAAAATGTCAGTCGTTTTACGGCAAGTTGTGCGATTTTATTAAGGATGAGCACCAACCGTAGATAGAGAACCTCTGTCGTGACGACACACATTTTGAGCTACTCTTTCCTTTTCAGTAGCATATTCGAAGCTCACAAGCTGGTCAAGCACTGGCCAACTTTCTGCGGGGTTAGTAGTATGCATCTTCTCCACTCTGACCAGTCATGGACACCGCCGTAACAAGTCACTATCAGCAGCGCCGTCATCTACACAGGTTTATCAAGGAATGCATCGTCTGGTAACTCAGTCTCGAAGTAAAAACCATAATTATCGAGATTCTGTTATGTGGGTCAGGCAAACCGAAAGGATATGAATATCTCCTAAGAGATGTACAAATTCCCAATATTACTGAAGACATCTGAACCGACAGGGCATGGTTTCAAGGTGTTTTTTTGGATGATATTGACTGGCACTCAAGTGAGTATGATTTAATTCTGGGTAATTGAGAGCAGAGCTGAATAAAACTCTACCCTGATCAGCATTATTCCGCACTGTCTAAAAAGTTTTAAGAAATTTATTTTTAAATTTCAGTTAACCAAAAAATTATTTTTTCAATAGAGTGACCGAAGCGCACATGCGAAAACAAACTTTGTTTCAGTGTAAAGGCTGTGGAATACGAAGTACGTACTTCACATGAGATATTATTTGAGTAGAACAATGAGAAAGCGATACATGCCTGACTTGTTCACACATAATTCTACCCAAATTGCCAGGAAAATCAACAGCAATGTTGAGCTCCTTTGAAATAAATAGCAATCTGGAAGTGGCCGGCGAAAAATAGCAGTCATTTCGGTATCGCCATTTATCCAACCTATTTGATAGGTGATACTCAGGGATCCAGTCCGCATGCGACCACCTGACGCGGATCCTTCGATTGGAAGTCCTAAGTGCGGGCTAGTTACACTGCTGATCAGCCGCTCGTGGCCGAACGGTTAAGTGTTCACCCCGCCAGCATTGAGGTCATGGGTTCGAGACACCCTGGAGTTTCGTGATCTTTGTACTGCTGATTATTCCCAGTAAGGATGAAACAGCCGCGGGGTGTCTCTCGGCTTTTCAGCATAGATTGACTCCACTTACAGGACGAAATCTCTGTTAAAACGTTCCATGTCTTCTCACAATACCAATCAGTGGCACTGTCCAGTCGAGAAGTGTCTTGATGTGTGAAAGAAGTATCATCGTTTGACCAGGTTCTCCTGGAAGACTTATACTACGCACATTCTTTTCGGTTAGATACCGCAGCTCCTGGGGATTATCAGTTGCAGTTGGACAGCAGGCGGACTCCTTCGTTTGAAGTTTTATGTCCATTTACTCAGATTCATGAGCAAACATTATCCTTAATTGAGCTGTCAAACAACAAGCCCTCTCCCTTGGGATATTCCATATACTTTTTTATGTGCCGCCAGCCGATGGAGATTTGCAAAAATGGCTAGTCGACTGTCTACAAGCTGAAAGCAATTCGAAAGACAGTCACATGGGCTCTTCTGCCTGTTCCCTGGCCATCAGTCGAAGACATTTCAGAATATAGAAACTGTGTGGATCGTGAATGTTTAGCGTCACCTGAAACTCACCAACAGGTGATTTCTTCATAAAAATTCCACTGTGTGCTTGACATGCCCTCTGGGGCTTGCCTAATCAGGATACTTTAGGTGCTGGCCGATGTGATTCTACTTGGTTTGCTACTACAAATTCCCAATAGGAATGGGGAGTTTAAACCAAGAATTGTCCTACTATACGTATCGCATCCCGAAAAGTCCAACATGACAAGCATAGTTTAGTAATCTTCCTTATAAAAACTGAAGCTAGATGGGAGGATATCCGGACACATAAACAAACTTGATCGTGAGCATAGAAATCCTTCCATTTGTTGTATTGTGGGTGATTGTCTATTGACTACTTCTGAACTGAGTCAGTCAGAGTTAGTGTTAAGGAGGAAAGAAACCGGGGCACGGCTCTGTTGTTAGGTCAGGTCAGGTCAGGTCAAACATACAGGATGGCTTAATGCCCGATTACGGTCGTTTGCTTGTTCGTTCTGTCCAGCCAATGGTGACTTTCCTGCCGGGAGCAATTTTACACCTCATTAGCGAACATACACTCATTTGCAAACTAATTTGGTTTTTCGACAGACTCACCTGGAATCCGGCTGAATCTCTCGTTTGTGATGTTCAACTGAATGTGCTGCACCAGGCCGCCTCATGTTTCAGTCGCTACGATATTCGAGATATCACGATACATGTATATCTTTGTAATGTACTACTCATCAGCAACCTCATGAGTAGTACATTACAAAGATATACATGTATCGTGATATCTCGAATATCGTAGCGACTGAAACATGAGGCGGCCTGGTGCAGCACATTGAAAATCCGTCGACGGATGGGCTGTCGGCGGATTTTCAGCAACCTTATGAGTAGTACATTAAAAAAATTTCACACTTCGCTGGTTGTGTGCTGCTATCCGAAACATATGTTGACCGATGATGACCTCGGGGACGCGGCGTTCTCTCCACGTGTGCTTATCTCATGTCTGAACGCGTCCTGACACGCTTAAAAGTCTTTGAAGTCATATGGCCTTCTGGACAAAAAAACCAACACACCAAGTCCTAGAGGACGTAGGTCGGTTGAGTGTACCGGCAGACTGCTTATGGTACAGCTTTGCCATGGGTAAGATGTCTGTTCCACGGGGAAGTCTGACTACAACCATGGTTGTAAAGAAGAATTTTTTAATCTTTGAACAAAACCAACGCCTTCCACTTCATGCGCTTCACAATAGAGCCCATAGCTGAGAGTCAAGCACTCCTGGTAGTGAATGTAACATAGTTGAATGATTACAGACACTGCGGTGTGTTTATTCGTTCACACAGGTGATCAAGTCAAGTGCAAAACTATTAGAACAGTCCGAATTGCCGGAGTAACACGCCCTTCACACACCATACATCCGGTTGAGCGCCAATTTTTTCTTCCAGTTTGTGTAGACTATTTGCAAATGACATTGCATGCTGGCTGTTCATCATTAATACACACACACAAAAGTCGTTCACGTGTAGCAGAACATATATTTAGCCTTCTTTCAACCTTTTTACGCGAAGTCGGGACGTAATTTTTCTTAGGAGACTTTGAAACATACCAAAGCCTGTCTATTCTAAGCCTCATCGATCGTTTCGATTCCGAATAGTGTACAGTCTTACATTGGTCATCAGGTCAAGGTCATTCTATGCTCTCCTTGGTCTCCTCTTGACACACGGGGTGTGAATGCCAGAAGCAGGTCTGGGGGAGCCCTAGTGGCTGTGAGGTCCGTAGAATGATTCTCGTATGAAGAATCGTCTTCCCATCCTGAAGGAATCATTCTGCTGAGCCCATCAGCCTCCAGTTTCGCTCGTATTGGAGCTCACGTCCTTGGCCGTTCCGAGGTTTGAACTCCTCATATCTAACATGCGAGGCGACAGTGTTCCCACTAACCCGAATTTTTACGTCCGAACAGGCGAACGTGTTCGATCCTTGGCCGTTCCGAGGTTTGAACTCCGCATATCTAACATGCGAGGCGATGGTGTTCCCACTAACCGAATTTTTACGTCTGAACAGGCGAACATGTTCGCGCTTGAGTGATGTTCAACACCTCGAACGATCGATCGATCGTTCGGCTGGTCTGTCTGGACCTCCCAGTCAGGTAGCGCCACCGACGCTTGAAACCCGCTGGACAGTTTTTTTCTGTCGTGGGGTTTGCGGGATATGGTCCATATTTTTGTTCAGTCATCCTCCTATCCTGGTGCAATCATTCTGATGAATCTAGTATTTGTCAACGTGAATACCACTTTCTGAGTACTTTTGCCTGGCCATAACTGACAAGTAGGTAGGCATCCGTTTAACGGCTAGCATCAAAGCCATGAAAGCGTAAAATTGTTGCCGAGACTAAAGTTCACAAATTTGGAAGGCATATCTCATACATGGCACCAAACTGTGTGAGATCAAAATCACTGAACTCATCCAGAAGGCGTTCCTAATTTTGACAAGCATTTTACAAGGTTGATCGACCATGGCGCTTCTGAATGTACAAGTACGCATGAACAACAGTAGCCTATTGTGAGAGAAAAAAGCCCATCCATGGTGCACATCTAGCCATGTCGACATGAAATCGACAAAAGCCAATAACTTCCCTCTTTCAGTAGATATCGATGCACAATTGTACACCCATGTAGACGTTATTCCGAGTTTGTGCGGTGTAATAAACATAGTCTTAGCAACCACAGTTGTCATTTGAAGAAGGAGCGTGTGATTACCCCGCATTCGTTGGCCTCAATGTACAGGGCGTCCCACAAATGTTGCGTGCCTTCGCTTCTGTTGTCCACACACACACACACACACACACACACACACACACACACACACACACCTACGTTCAGTGCACGCGGACAATCCTGATGATCGACATACACGCAACCGAATCCACATGTGCACTCCGAGACAGAAAAATGCTGCAAAAAGCCTTATTTCCTATTCTAGGCAAGTAAGCGCCCGTCCTACAAGAAACGAAGGAATATTATGCCAGGCCAACATACATCCTGTCAAAAATGGTTCCTGATAGTCCAAGGGGGTGTGAGGCAGACACACAAACCGTCCGCACTTAGACCAGTCTTGGTTGCCGAGAAACTGAAACTGAATATCGGTTTTAAGGACGCATCTGATCGACCACAACTGCCACTTTCGAGCCAAATATGGTTATACTAACGACCACCTGTACGGGTAATTAGCGACTGATATCGATCAGTTTCGAAGGAACTTAGTGTAGGTGGAAGGTATGAACTGAAAGGTATGCAAACACTGTTGAGAATATCCTAATGTGAGGAATTTTGAAGGGTATATATAATCCATGAGAATCTTGAGTAAGAATGTATTGAGTATGCCGTTCGTGGATTTCAAAATTGGGGAGCCCAAATAATTTATTATTGATTTTTGCACATGCGTTCGAAATGTCAGAACATAACAGCAGTGTGAGGGGGACGCCATCGAGTGTATGCATCCGGCAGTCATATTAAGCAACTAGGCTCGAGAAACCCCTAGGGATCGATATGATGCCGAGTTTAGAGATTGATACTTTACTTTTCGGGTTTTGCACCTATCTGTTATGCTTCAAACGGAATGGCTGGTTTTGGGCCCGAACGACTGCTGGTGAGATCGGCGTCTATTCATTGTGAAGTCATCCGCATATTATTCCTTTGAAAAGTCTCATATCACTCATACTGCTGACCAGGCTTTCAAAAAATCATCATTTTGAAGATGTCAGCATTCCCCACAGTTGCGTACAACGCAGGCTAAACTTTCAGGGGCTCATCTGGGTCGCAGCTTCTCAGACGGTTAACAAAAAAGGACCATAATCAAGCATTGTGAGCTAATCAGTGAACGAAGATAACAAACTCCTTGCCGTCGGTACACACTACTCACAAGGTTAGTGAAAATCTTCGGACAGCTCACGAAAGTCATCGCTCTTCTTGAGGCTTATCAGGCAGCCACCATCCCGGAATTTTCGTCAGCCCCATGTTCTGCGTGAGCACCAAATCATAAGCGACTGGCAAACAACACTCACTGAATCCGAGATGACCCTCGTATCAAAAACTCTCCCATTTGCAAACTAAATTCACAGTCTACTGTACGTCATAACGGTTTTGAAACGCTTCTCGGTTTGCTGGTCCTGACCTGAAAATGAACTATCTGTCTCTCTTTGAGTTTTCTGTACTGTGATTTCAATCACCATGATTCCGTTGTTTAGTAGTCTGTTTGAGTCTCGAAGTGATGTTTCTACGTGGTCTGGGAGTTTCGAACTCACCATCAATTCTTTATGTTCACACAAAGTAACTCGGTTTTCTTATGTGCCACTTTTCGGTGACTTTGGTGTCAAAATTTTGCGCATCGTTCAGAGGTCACACTACTTAAATGCCAATTGTATACAGAGGTGAATATAAGAAACATGGGTTCTCTCGAGTTTTAAGGAAGTAATTTCAGATGTTTTGTTCAGTAGCCTTTGGAATGTGGACGCTCATCCCGCTGTTGCTCAAACGGGTGACTGACGTATGTCGTTTTCAGCGGAGATTTTGCCGTGTAGGTTAAACTAGCCTGTCCTGTTTTGATGAAAGCAATAAATTGTTGGTCATCGAATCTCCAAAGCCATCCATCTCCAAGCAACCCTCCAGCTAGAAGTTAGGGTTTAGTTTAAACGGCCATGGATGGCCAATCAGCATCGTGACTGGCTTTCATTCTGGGCAGGAACTGGCAACACTCCTCCTGAAACCAAACCATGGATGTCTCAGAAACAAGAATGACTTGTATGTCAAGTGAGCCTTCCACGTGGCAAGTCTTTATCGGACCAGCCTATCGATACATGATCACGTGATGTGAATTCCAGTATGAGCGCTAATCACAGCTGATTAGCCGCTCATGGCCACAGGTTTGAGACATCATATAATAACCGAGGCTGTGAGTTCAGATCATCCTTAGAATTCGTGAGATGTTCAACGCTGATGATTCCTACTAAGGGTGAATCAGCTGTAGAGCACTTCCCAGCATTTCAGCACTTGTTAATTTTACCCACACGATAAAATCTCTGCTGAAAATACAGAATCTTCCCGTACTACTAACCAAGTATCTCGCTTTTACCTTCTACTCTTTGATGGGCACATGACATGTATCGATCTCTCCCTTTCTACACCCAGCCGGGAAATTATTTATCCAAAACTACTGGTGGTCACCAGGTTGTTGCAAGAGAATGGACTCTGTATTCACTTTTTAATGAGTACGCGTAAAATCATCATCGTTCGCTCCTTTTTGTCGCCAGCCATTGGAACACAGACCCGGACAGTCTAATAGTTCACAACGATTTCGGGTCCAATCCTATCATTGAGGTGAACTTGGGCGACAGCACAAACCAGACTGGTTCTCTTGAGTCCCACGATTGAAACAAATGAAACTGTACTACGGAAAGTTTTCCCAAAATTTAGTTGTTCCGGAGTCAAACAAGTCAAACAGAAAGCTCGCTGTCTCACGTGCTTCGGTTGTCTAACCTCCAGTCTGCATTAGGGTCTGTGTGGCGGCTGTTTGTACGCCGACATATGGAAATATGAGAGTCGAACATGATTCTCATCAGTAGTTCCTTCTATGCGAACCCTGACAACTCAGTGAGGAAGCATACTAGACATGACTTTGTCAGGTTGACATGACATGAATTTTCGCTGTCATCCTCTGCCACGACATGGTGCGAAAGTTGAAAAAATCGGAACCACGAAAAATTTTATTATCTGGCTTAGAAAGAACACTTTTGTCCATCAGAGATTCATACATTGCGCACACTGAAGAAATGGTATAAATCCTTCTGTAGTTTGGACAGTCCAAGGAAGGACAGGACTCGAGCTTCGCTCTTGCTTTAAACATGTTTACCTATTTAGACATGATAATTCAGGTGCGCTCAACGTGTGATGGTGGAGTGCGGGTGACAGGTTCATTTCACCTGCCAGATGTCCTGGGCTCGACTCCTGACACGTCATCTATGCAATCCTGATTAGCTCCATTAAACATGGAACTCGAGTCTTGTTTGGTGGGAAATACTCAGAATAGAGGCACCAAGGTAAGTGAAAGGTTGCTTTAACGAACGAGCCAACTCGAGTCTTGTTTGGTGGGAACTAATCAGAATAGGGGCACCAAGGTAAGTGAAAGGTTGCTTTAACGAGTGTTGTGAAGTAAATCATGCGAACCCCGCAACTATCAGCAAGCAACAAATTCCATATTTGACCTAATTTAGACAATGGTATTTTCCCCCAACTACGCCCATTTCCATGCCGATCTGTTTGTCACGGAAGATTCACCTAAGTCCCAGTTGAAACTATCGTTCTACGATGTTTAATCTACAGCGGAAGTCAAATTGCTATGCAAATGAGTGTTTTGCCAAATTTCATGCAATTTGGATCCAAGCGTAAGGTTGACGGAAACATGGGCGCTGAGTCAACTGAAAGAGCCCCAAAAAGCCGAAAGTAGGTTGCCGTAGAGTTTTCAGCAACCTTTTAAGTGGTGCGGCACGTCTAGATAATATTATCCAATTATAGAGACATGTTAACGAAGTTAACATAGAATAGGAACCAAAAATGTCAAGCATGAAGATTAGCTGGATATCAGCCAATCGATACCAACCATCTAAGTCAAGCATTAAGGTGATGCGAATGTTCACATAAATAAGTAATGATTAGTCAAGGTTACTCCGGGTCAGGAGGCCGTATAACAGACACAACTGCTGCAACAGACTGCCTTACCTTTGATTGATAATTAAATGGTTGCACCCAAAGTTCCTATCAGGAAGGTCAGATTCATGAAAGTAACCTCAGAACACCCGGAACCTACTGCTCCACCAAAATCTCAACAGAAAAGCCGGCAAGCATCCAGGCCAGTAACTCATTCAATCAGTCCAGCAAAAGCTGATGAGTGTTCTTGCACGCAACAGAAGCACGACCGAATGTGATCAGCGTTCAGGCACTTCACCGAGTCACGATCGATGTTGATGGGTGTTCAGTAACGCCTATCAGACAGCCTGGATCACTTTCAGAAAGTCCCCTTTAAATAGCGCGGGGACGTTGTAACTTTTGCTCTCGCACTCACTTGTTCGGAATATAGCGGTTGCGTTCCCTTCTGTGTGTCTTCTTTCTCCGGCACTAGGCACTGGATCGGGTTAGCAGCAGATACTACAGGTTGGCGAATCAGTAGATATAACAGTTCCGGATTCGATAAACGGATAATCGATTGGCCTTAGACTCCCCCGGTTTCGGTTTTCGTACACCAGTGTCAGCCAACTGAGCAAAGGTCACTTTTATGGGAGGCCTCAAGATCGATATTGCCAACACCCCTAACAGCAGATCATCCAACCATCGCACCGATATTTCAACGCGGTTGGTGATGAGACGTTTGCAGTTCAACTCGTAGACTCTGTGAAGAGACGAACAATCAATATCCGCCCTCCACTTGGGCAATGAATCATGCTGTATTAAAACAGAGGGTTTGGTATCCCAGAGGTTTCCCAACCCAATCTCTCAGAAATTTACAGGTCTCCAAGTCTGTGAGGCTAACTTAGCCCCGAACCAAACCACTGTTCGCAATTAGTGTCCAAATGAACGCTCTCGGTGAGCTCTGTTTCAGGATATCTAAGTGCACTCTTTTCCATAACTGTCCTAGAAATATCTATGCCTCTGCAGAGAAGAAAAAGGAGACCTTTTGGCGCTCCCCAATATCTGCTTGCTCTCCCTTGAAGGTGGATTGTTTGTTCTCTTCGTGGATTTCGCTTTCTCTCTCTACCCATTTGGAACTTTGTCCAGATATTCTTGAGATAATTCACGATATAGCATACGTGGAGCAAACATATTTTTTAACTTTAAGTTGATTTATCTAAATACAAACATGGGACACCACAATTTGAGAGTTTCATTTCAGCATGAGAGAAAGTTGTCCAACACTGGAAAAAGTAAGTGAACCATGGTCTATGTCAGACTTGACTCGACTTGATCGCAGTGAGCTTGTCATCAGCTCCACTCACAATCACAAATCAGCCAGAAAACTTCAGTGTCTTCTTTGTGAGTAGTATGTTGAGCTTGGTTTAAAGTCGCTGTCTCCTTTTAGGTTGTCTACCGCAGCATTTAAACTTTGGCCATGTCGCGATGTGAACTCAAACACATGCTTTTTATAAAGGAAACTACTCACAAGGTGTCTTGAAAACTCTCGACAGCCCACGACCAGTTTCGCCCTTCTTGGGGAGGTACAGTCCTCGAGTTTCCGTCAACCTTATGTTCCACTTGAACACATGCTTGCTGACACAGCCTATTATTGCATGCCCCATGAACGCGTGGCGACCATTCGCAGGCTGTTGTTGACTTGTTTGATTACTCGTAGCGTCGCCTACTAAAAAGACCACAGTCTCATATGCTTTTGTCCGATAGACATCTTCTGTTATTGTCAGAACAACAAAATCCTTTGGGTTATTCGATCAATCGCAAAACGCTTGAAACCCATCAAGAAGTTGTCGGTCTTCCAGTATAATCTCTGTGAGACCTTCTTTGTTCCTTTCGTTGACGCCCTAATGATGAGAACAGCAACAGTCCAAGAAAGGATCCATAGATGGACATATCAAGTATCGTTCCATGACGCTTGCCTATCGGGTACCCTAACCTTCATCAAGGGATTTCCCTTTATGTCTCGGACATTACTATTCCCTATATATATTGCCAGTAGCTCATATATTATATACTGACTGTCCTGGCTTTGTAGAAGTGACCTGAATTCCAGACAGTCCTCGATATGTATCTCCTTTCCATCAACTCACTTCTGACCAATCTGTCAATTAGCTGTTAGTGGGTAAACAAGCTATGGACAAACAACACAGCACTCGACTTCAAGTTGTCGAAGCTCACACAATCCCCGGTCTTTCATGTTCTGTAAGCCCTGCGTGGAAGTTCCATCTCCACAAATTTTCCCGAACACATTTTCCACAATGTATCACATCATTCAAACGGGTTTTCAACTAAAAAGGACACGTAGAGAATGCAAAGGGATAGTTGTGTCAACGGTTGGTGTTGTTTTGAAATGCAACAAGGAACCGGTAGGTGAGATGATACATCATTGTTTGTTTGACACAAGCACAACATTGTTCCCATGTTGCATTGCATCATTATCCACATAAACATGAGTCGGAACGCGGTTTTGTTTTGGCTACTTTGATGATGAATCACCACAAAAACGGGGTGATACTTTGCTTGCGCAAAATATCGATCACATTTTGAAGAAATAACGAGCCGAAACTGGGATGTTTATCACCCGGAATCTGTCACAACCAAAGCGACGAACCTCCAAGTTTGCTAACACGGAATTCGGACAAAATAGAGGAACGAGCCGTTTTTTCGGAAAACCGGGCTCATTTAAACTGAAAAAACCACAAGTAGATCAGGAGACCTAAATTCAGTGGAAATTTATGGCCGAGAAAAAACGAGGCTTTTTAAACTGGTTTCGTGAGAGTTGAACCGGGTTTTCTTTATGATTACGGGAATTTACTGGATGGTGAAAAACTACTCCATCCGTCTTATCGATTTTGACACACCCATCACCAGACGCTACTGGTAATAGATTAGAAGATCGTAACTTCAACCTTCTACCTAAGATTATTCTTTCTTGTCCATACGCTGTATCAGAGAGCCTGGAAACATCACAAACGAGAGATTCAGATGGGTTGCAGGTGAAACTCTCACAAAACCAAAATACCTTGCAAACGAGTGTATATTCGCTAAGCAACAGCTTTGTTAACCAGGCTTTTCCCCATAAAAATTCCTTCCTTCTATGAACTACACTCATTTGCAATGATGATTTTTCAGCAACTTTATGAATACGAATCTACATGTATCGCGATATCTCGAATATCGTAGTGACTGAAACATGAGGCGGCCTGGTGCAGCACATTCAGTTGCCTGGAAACATCACAAACGAGAGATTCAGCTTGGTTGCAGGTGAAACTCTCACAAAACCAAAATACCTTGCAAACGAGTGTATATTCGCTAAGCAACAGCTTTGTTAACCAGGCTTTTCCCCATAAAAATTCCTTCCTTCTATGAACTACACTCATTTGCAAACCAATTTGGTTTGGTGGGAGACTCATCTGGAACCCAGCTGAATCTCTCGTTTATGATGATTTAAACAATTGAATGTGCTGCACTAGGTCGCCTCGTGCTTCAGTTGGTACGATATTCGATGTATCACGACACATTCATAGACGTAATGCATTACCCATAAGGTTGCAGAAAATTCTTCGACAGCCCACGATCGGTTTCGCCCTTCTTGGGGGTCATCAAGTAGGTTAACGAAGACTCAAGGACTACGGCTTAGTGATGAGCTTCAGCAAGGACAAAACCGGTCGTGGGTTGCCGAAGAATCTCCAGAAGCAGAGTATTACGTCTATACCATTCTTATGCTTTTTTATTCCGAGGAAATTAGAAAAAGACGTCGTTCGTGATACAGAAGTCGATTATTTATATACATGACAAACGAAATCTTCATCCATTGGAAACAAGTCTTTGTGGATTAACTCTCAAGGCATGACGTTCTGTCTACTTGAATTCTTCTTGTTGTATGTTCAGTCCGTTCAAATAAACTGGCCACCTCGAGCTTGCGTATTTCGAATACCGTGGTCCGGAAAATGTTCACTTGGGAGTTTAGATCCTCAGATGGGTTTAATTTTTCAAATTACTAATTATCAGCCCCCAGAAACCCCTCTCTGTAGTGCGTTTGCATTTCTTGTGGTCCCAGTCACCAAGACTGACGAGTGGGTTGTCTATCACAGTGTTCGATTATTGAATTTCGTGTTTTAGAAAAGCGTAAGACGGTGAGAAATCTTCAGATGAGACTTCGTACTTTGAAGGTGCAGAACGCATACCAAAACGTAGGAACAACTCCGATATTCTGTTTATAATAATCTGCGCGGACAGTGGAGGTCAACAATCCTAACCCATTGACCTCTCTCCTTATGTGATTTTGAAGTCCCTTGGAGCGTGCAAAATTGACAAAATTGAACAGAAAAGAAAAAGGGGTCAACAACGGCGGTAGACAACGCGGATGGAGACCCTTACATTCTTATCCGTGTGCGACCGAGAGGCCACATAGAAAGGAGAGGCTGCTGACCACTGTTGAAAGGAACCACTTGTTCACTGAGAGCATAAGTGAGTTTTATCCACTGGACAATAGGTTAGGGAAATTCCCCGGCAACTTTTCCTTGCATTACTAGTGGGACTTTACCTTTCATAGCATTGTTAGGTAGATTAAGTCAACAAATGACTGAAGAGTGTGTTCTCTCCGAACGAACCACACAATATCAGTTGGTCTGCTGACTACGGTCTGACTACGCGGTTTCCTCGACACGAATCTAACAAAAATCGTGATTTGACAGATATAATACTGTTGGTGACTTAAGACGATGACTGGCGAGAATCTCAGGGTCAAAAAATGCAGATTTGAGCAAGATCTACTTTTCTTCAAGCCCACAGTTACATTCATGTTAGCAGATTGGAGTTCAAACAAATACTTCTCCCTGATCTTCCGACAATATTTGTTGGACCTCAAGTTTCACCAGTTTCTTTCGTCCAAACTAGATCAGTGGATGTAACATCATTTAGAACCGGCCAGAAATAGAACTGTGCAGATAAACGTAACCCATGACTAATTAGCTGGCTATCCTTTCTTCGTCAGTGTCGTCCTGTCAGAGCCTTCTTTAGTCACGTGGTTCATCCATATTGACACTTTCTTCCAGGCAAACGTTAAGCATATAAAAATGTTGTTAAAACCTTACATTCAGAAACAGTGTACATAGGTCAAATTACATTAACCATTAACGCTCATCATCTATGAAGATAGTCGGCCCATCGGCCAAATTCATCATAAAGCACGGGAATCACGTGACTCTAGTCCGATCACTTTAATTGGTTGCTGACATTTACAACGGTGGTGTATACTTCGGGCAATACTGAGCCGTTTCGTCAGTTGTTCTGGTAGGAATATGTACCACGGTCAATTAGACATATGGCTACCACGTGTCATCACTGCTAAAATGCTAACCGAACGAAACTGTACCGCACAAACTAGCCTTTTTAAGACAAATGAACTCATGACTGATGCACATAACTTGAAGCAGGATGGAATACTTTCTCGATAAGGACAATGTATATCAGAAAACTCGCTGGATATGACGCAGTCACTAGCTGTTTGCTTTATCCGTACTGTGATCCGGAACACTGTCAGACACTTTTGTACTTCGCGTTCGCCCTTCTGTCTCACTTTATCTCACGAATCCACACCAAGGCGAGGAAACACTGGGCTCGAATTTCGCTGTTATCAATGCTCCGTGCCGTAGTTTCAATTCCGGACATCTGACATGCTAGGCAAGCGTGTTGCCAATACTCCACCAAGGCGCGCTGGACACCAGTGAATTATCACGCCATTAGCCGCACAATGCTCTTAGCTGCAAAATCTTTCGGATGCAATAAAACGTTTTGTGCCACAATGTTGCATTTTGTTGCTCAAACCAAAAACCATCTTAATCTACGCTCATATTTTAGCGGCTCATCCAATTTCATTTTCCGCTGCAGCAATCATACATCTGGCGGAAAAAGTCTGGTGGAATAAGTTCCCTAGCATCGCTGGGACCCCACGATGCCTAGATGGAGCTCAAAGGTTTGGACTGTTCCTCTGAACGCTATTGTCTGTCTGCTTTGGTCCATCAGGCACACGTCGAGGCTTTCAAAAATTCAATTCCGTTGTGCGAATACTGAGCGCCCTGACTACGCGAACATGTTCGCGCCTGATCGATGTGCTCAGTTTGCTCAATACCTCGAAAGCTTCACCAGTTACCGTCCCGGCTGTGTCGGTTGATGTGTCATGACTTTCCAGTCAGGTAGCGCCAAGACCGAAGAAGGATCGTTCATATGAGGGTGATGTAAACACGAATTCAACAAATCCCACGTCCACCTGTATTTCCATCCAGAGTGAAAAGTGGGGCACATAAGACGGGGCTATGCGTCATGTGACAGGCAAGGCAAATTGAATGTTAAGAAACTGGCATCTAATAAAAACCTTGAAGACAAAATTGGCAGATTCAACTCATACCTTCTATCATAAACAGAACGAAATGCATGTTTTCATAAAGGAAACCATCGCTGAAAACTCTCCGACAGCCCACGACCGGTTTCGCCCTTCTTGGGGCTCAACCGGTAGGCGCAGTCCCCGAGTTTCCCTCAACCTTATGTTCTACTTGATCCCAAACTGCATGAATTTCGCAAAATACACTCACTTGCAAATCAATTTGGTTTTCACGAGAGAATATCACTAACAAGAGATTCAGTTGAGTCTCTCGTGAAAACCAAATAGATTTGCAAACTGAGTGATTTCTCGAAAACATGCTTGCTTCTTACGAATCAGTGTTCTGAATCAGTTGTCATCAGAGGAACTGTTCCGCCCATTGAGTGGGAGCGGAGGGATATCGTCCAACATCGCTGAGTGCTGTATTGATGGTTCTCAATGGGGAAGCAAGAAATGACTGACCATAAGTCCACATGTACACCATATTGTCAATTCACCCCATCAACGTACTAAACAAAGCATTCAGCACTTACCTGCACCAAATTGTGTCGTTTTATAAGCCTGGAGTACAAAGTTTCCATTCGCCCTCCGATGCATACTGCTGTTGAATAAGGGGTAAGTATGTGGAATAAGACCTGCGTAATCATTGGGCCGTACTCAGCAAGCATACAAGTTCGATTCAACGCTGAGGTCTCATCCATAGAGCGCGTTGTGATATGGTAGAAAACCAAAAAGCAATGAGGATTTTGGATCACACATAGCTAGTCACATATTGATGAGCCGCAAGAAGGGCAAAGCCGGTTGTGGGCTGTCGAAAGGTTTTCAGTAATCTTCTGAGCAGTTTCCTTTATGAGAAATATACTGCGATCTCTCGAATGCCGTACCAACTGGCACATGAGGTAACCTCTGTGTAGTACACTCAGTTGAATACTAGTATAGACAAGAGATTCAGTTGAGTCTCCCGCAAAAACCAAGTTGCTTTACGAATGAGTACATCTGTTGTAACCATTCTTAGATCCAGTTTGGCCTCCAAACAGCAAGCATTTTTGACCGTCTTATCTTCTGGCAACCGACTCTGGATGCATCTTTGAAGTCATCTTTGCAATCTTCCACATTCCAAGGATCCGCTCAAGACGGGACTGAGCTGAGCACCCAAATACCACTTAGGATGACGTTTCAAATGCTACTTGAATGATACTCAAGTGAATCTCTTCAACCAAAGAAGACTGTTCATCAACACCAATGCAGTATCATAATACTCAACTGCATGTCCACAGCATTGGTCACATGACTATCTTTCGATTGCTACGATGCCTTAGTCCCAAAGTATGTGCTGGCTGGTTGCACCGAATGGTCCTTATGCTGAAGGATAAATTGTCCGGTTAGCGAGAGACTCACCTGGAACCCAGCTGAATATCTCGTTTGTGATGTTCCCAGGCCTTACGAATATATGTGTATCGTGTTATCTTGAATATCGTAGCGACTGAAACATGAGACGGCCTGGTGCAGCACATTCAGTTGCCTGGAAACATCACAAACGAGAGATTCAGCTGGGTTCCAGGTGAGTCTCTAGAAAAACCAAGGTTTGCAAATGAGTGCATGTTCGCTAGTTGCTTGCAATTTGGTTTCAAGTAGAACATGAGGTTGACGGAAACTCGGGGACTGCGCCTACTTGATGAACCCCAAAAAGGGCGAAACCGGTCGTGGGCTGTCGACGGATTTCAGCTACCTTATGAGTAGCGCGATGGTGATAGGGAATTTAAGATTTGAATTATTCTGATGAATTGCCCGTATTGTTTTTTAGTAATTTTATTTCCTACGCTTGCGTTTCAAATCATATTTCATGGTGCAAAAAAACAAGTAATCGTTTTTCTCGTTAGAGCGTAAAGACGTCGGCCAATTCCTGGAAAGTGAACCTCATCCAAAGTTTCGGGTGTCTGCAAATGTCAGGTAAAGCTGTCAGAAATGTGGTAGCAACAAACCCAGTGAAAACCTCAGGTGGGCTAACCCCCGTTGTGTCAACAGGCAAACAATTTCCCTCGGAATATTTGAACCATAAGTAACTGTTTCATGTTTGTCGAAAGGCTGTATTTCCTTGTAATCAAATCACCGCGTCAAATGACGCGTTAGGTGGCGAAGGTTTTGGATTCGTCGAGAAAAATTCAAGCTGTTTGTGAGCGCACCAACCAACGGACCATCACGTTCAGGTGAACGTACAGTATACGTCATCAGGAATGAATCACGTGAGTGAGTGAACCATGTTAAAATTTGGGCTCTCCATAGACAGTCTATGTGATATGAGCTATTTAGCTGAATTTGCAAGCAACGTTATTTTGGCGCGTCATCTGATTTCCAAAAACTTCTGTGAGTATTCACAAAGTTTACAACGCTCTGTCCTGAACGTTGATAGCTTGACAAAACTGGTTGCACCAACTCGGCTATTGATTTTCACAAAACTAGAACTATACTCGACAGATGGACTGAATCATTCATTCGATTTCATGCGGCTTGTGGATAAAGTGAGCAATGAACACTAGTCAACCAGTCGCTTGTTCCTCTAAAATTTCGTGTTCGTGAGTGGCTCTCAGTAGAAATCAAGGTTCACAAATAGGGATACTGGTCCTTGTTGGGGCGAAGTCACATAAACTTCGACTCACGTTTTACTCAAGCTAGTGGAGTTTACCAATGCAGGAAAGCGAAGAAGCCCTATTCTTGAGAACCATTAGCAGCATATACCTCATGAAAATCCGTGGAGATGTGGACTTTTCAGATGTAAGCGAACGCTGTAGGATTTGACAAAATGTTCTGTGGTCAAAACGCACCCCAAACATTTAGTCCTTAAGCACGCGGTCTATGTCACATGATCCGGCGTGTTGACCGCATCCTTGATCAAAGACGTCTCAGATGAGGGGTTACCTTTTCCTGAGCTGAAAACTGGTAGTAGTTCGTGGGGTGACTAAAATGTGGCAAACTTAGTATTTCAAAACAAAGATTTCATGCAAATTGGTCTTCAAAATCAGCAAGATCTGGAAAATTTGGACAACCTATTGATTGACCCCTCCGTCAAACGGCCGTTGACGTCGAACCCAAGTGAATCAAAACACAGTTATTGAGCAAATCTATCAAGGTGGCACATAAACAAATATTTAGTATTTCAGTCTTCTTCTCGACTACTAAGCTCATACTGAGTCAGTACGTTTCGTTTGAGCAGGCGAGTCCCAATACATTACTCTGCCTTATCAAATTCTGCTCCTCATTAAGCGTCACCTTTTGAACACTCCATTTCATACATGCTGTGTGGCCTGTGCATAGCCTGCGTTTCTTTCACAACCGGCCACTGTTTTATTTCAAACTTGAGGGTCGTACTTCCTGGTCAAACTCTTCCCTTGTCTGTTGCCGTTTACTGCGTCTATCTCATAGACTCGATATGCATCTGTAATCCCTAATGAACTTTTGACCTTTGACTTGTCGAACCAATTTGGCCGACCATCTTTTACGCGCGCTTTCTGACCATTTTGCGTTACCACATGTTGTGCCCAGGCGTGTGTCGCAGACTAAGATCGATCTGCCATCTTTGGGCTTTCTTTGGACTTCCACTGCTTCGTTTGGACGGAAACCCCCATAATTTGATGTCTGCACCCATTTTATTACGTGTTTTATACATGTGGTACCGCATCTTTTGACAAATCTCAAGAATCTGGCTTGTGATTTTGCGCGTCAACCACTCAAATGGGCTTTCCTGAATAGGTCAAAGTATTCCACACGGGCGATGGTCAACGTGATCAACGTGACCACCCAAAAAACGATTTGGTTACAGCAACATCTGCGTTGGTCTCACATGATTCGGTTCACCGGAGGAAAGAATTGTCTTTTTGATATACATGTAGCGGACCATTGGATGGAGTGCAGGAAAATAGAGCTTGTGTATTTTTGCTTTATTTGGGCATTCATGGGAACTGCTGCAAAACATCGATTAACTTGACTGTGTAAATCGTTACCGTTTGCCGACAATAAAACTCAGACAAATTACAATCTGTTCTACTCCCGCCCCCCCCCAGCAAATTCTCCGGAACCAGTTTTGATAGGCCATCGTTGGTTAAGTAAAACGGAAGAAATCGATTCCAGGATATTGACCCTGAAATTCGTTGCATTTAGTGTGAAATTCACCCGTATGCTATTGAGGAACCAGTTTGATAGGCCATCGTTGGTTAAGTAAAACGGAAGAAATCGATTCCAGGATATTGACCCTGAAATTCGTTGCATTTAGTGTGAAATTCACCCGTATGCTATTGAGCACCAATCATAGTCGCATACGGGTTATCCAGGCCCTGATAAGTAAGCAACCGTTTCGATTAGAATTCAGGTCCAGCGAGCGTTCCATTAGGGAAGGTCGACGGAAGTAATTCAGTCAAACACCACTTCTAACGCGCGTACTCTATGGTTAAATGGAAAGGCACCTTCAAGCGCAGAGCTGTTTGCTAACGAAAATGAACTTGCCGCTTATATAGTATCAGACACGAGAGTAAAGACTATTTGCACAGTTTCTGCAAAAGTCGGGACCCTCGGGCATCCCTCTGAAGTTTCTGGAAGGTAGCTTGGATACTAAACGAAAATGAACAAACACTATAAAAATGCTTGGCACTTTGCAAGTCAACCATCCATCATCATCATATGTGGGGACGATGCTTTAACCTGCTTCACCAGATACTACTCGTACGTTGCATTAGTAGTGTACATCGTCACACCTGTAGTAGACCTCTATCTACTTATGAACTTGGGGTCCGATCACTTAAGTTTTATGCATTGCATAGGAATGCGTTCTATTAGGCACTCCACTCCAAATGCCTCCAAGTAATTTTCAGTATAACTCCGTCAAAGCTTCACAAATGTCAGAAAAAACACGAGTTTATTGGATAACTCAGAGTGGATAGGATGGGAGGTGTGATAGGTTTGAGTAGCCGGTTTAAGAAGCAGTCGATCAAAAGAAACGCTTTCCTCTTTCCGGAGGTGGCTTTGGTTAAAATTTTGTTGGCTAGTAGGGTTCTACTGGGGGCCATGAGCCGCAAAATGCTCTTAGCTCTAAAACCTTTACAAGTGGAGTAAAACTTCTTGCGCCAAAATGTTGCATTTTGTTGCGTATGTACTCAAACAATAGATCACCGTAATTTATGTTCATATTTTTGCAGCTCACCAAATTTCACTGTCCACTGAGGCAGTCATACCTCTTGCGCAAAAGTCTGGTGGAATAATTTCCCAGCATCGCTGGGGCTAAATGGGGCTCAAAAGTTTGGACTGGTACTCTGAACTTAGTTGTCCGATTGCTTTAGCCGGTCAGGGAAACGTCACAGCTTTCGAAAATTCAGTTCCATTGTGCGAATACTGAGCGCCGTTCTACGGCATAAATGGTTTACTCATGGCACCCTATAGCTGCGTAGCTTTCATGCTACCCAAAGGAAGCGTGGGGATTGAGGTACTACCAAGTTGCTCAAACCTAGACAGGAACAGTTGAGATGGATTGGTTTCGAACTTCGGACCTTCCGGTCAGTGGGCTTGCCCTTTAACCACTGGGCTATTTGAAGATGCTGCATAAAAAGGGAGTTAACTTCAAGTTTGTCAGATGTGGGGCCCAGTTCGTCCAGTTCAGGGTGTTTCGGTAAATAATTCTTCCCCAGCAATGTTATTTTTATTATTTGTAGTTTAAAATTGCTACGCCAATTTTTCTCGACGTGACACCAAGTACAGGGTAGTCTCCTCTCTACTTGGACTGCATCAGGAGAGTCTAGTCTTCAAGTTTCTATCACTTTTCTTTTCTGCTTTTAAACCGATACGTACCCATACGTGATGGTATATTAACTCGGTGCTAACTCACTTGCTTGTCAGCTGAGTCTGGCATCTATATTACGGTATACTAAGCGTGCTGCACATAGTTCACGTCCCAAGTCGGCTGGCCTAAATCTGGTGCCAGTACGTTTCTCATTTCTACACCTTCTATTCTACACACAACCAGATGTTTTTCTGCGACTCCTGTTTGGGTCTCGTTGCCTTGCCGAATGTCGACCTACGTCGTGGTAATTTCCACGCAACGAGTCGCACCATCATCCGAGGTGTTCACCGAAATGATTTGGCACAAAACAGTTTTCATATAAAGGTTCTAAGTAAGTGGCGACACTCGTTACAGATGCAAGACATTCTCACATGCTTTAAAGGTAAACTGCTTTTCAGGTGCTCTCTTGGGCTGGGATTCCTTACCGAGGCGTCGATAGAGGGTGTCCGAATAGGCCACTTGGGGGTGTGGCCCCAAACACATTTTCGCATTTGTTTGTGTGTAATTTAACCTCTGTTTATTACATTCCCCAGGTGGGGAAAACAAAAGTGCATGGCAACTGTTTACCTCAACGAAGTGCTTAGCCAAAAGGTCAAAAATGGTAAGATGTTCAAACAGTGCGTGCGTTTGTTTTGACACATACCACACATGGGTCGGAAGGACTAATCAAACATTTATTCGATGTACCGTAATTCTTCCAGACGTTTTAAGTACGCCCGATAATCGGAGCATCTATCGACGTGAACAAATGTATTTAGTGATGAGGACCGATTTGTGACAGATAATTGACCGCACTGAAATTCATTCACAATCACTCGCCAATACATCAAAGCTCAAATTATATCAGAAACACTGTCTTTTAATTTAGTGAACAGAAGCCTCTTGATCCTGGAATGAATTGAAACTCTTTTGCCCTAACGATGATTCTGGTGTGGTTTTACGTAGCTCGCTGAATTCCTTAATTATGCCGTGATCTTCATTCCTTGTTTATTGAAAAACAGCCGCTAAGTTCACAACTATAGATCTGATTGGTCTCGGCGGTAAAATCGATACGTCAATCTCATTGGCCAATTTCACCGACCCACCTAGCGCTGAGGTCGGTGAGCCGATGATCTCACGTCTACCTGATGAACCAAAAAGAAAAACCCTGTGTAAACATCTCCGTATGCATACATATGGACATTCGACACTGAAATGTTGCAGACAGACTACATTGCAAAAAAGAAGAGGTCACAACAAGCATAAATATTTGTTAAGAATAGAAGCTTTTGAGAATCCTAACCAGTTACTTTCAGACATCGACTTATAGATGTTGGCAAGGTCAGGCTCAGCGGTAAATGTAGGTTAATCCAGACGGAATCTTCAGAACGACAAGCCCACCAAAAATTATCTCTATTAATACCATGATTATCTCGATCGATCCTCATTTACGTCATGTGTATATTGTTTCTTTTTGTTGGTCATTCGCACAGCTTCCTATTATGGTGTTCTGTCAGTTAGTCCCAGCAACACTGACAGACACGTTTTACGGTGTAAATCTGCGTATCGGACTACGCGTATTACGAATGTAACTCCATCTCTCTCTCTCTCTCTTGTATTTGTGTCCTTCCTTCCTTCGCAACACCAGGATGTGTGGCGCCATAACACAACATGTTGGCCTATGACTCGGCAATGATGCAGACCGCTTGGGTGGATTGAAAGTTGTTGTAAACTACTGCATTGACAGAATGAGAGAAAAGCAACCCTACATCCCTTGTCCTTCGCTTAGTTAAATAGCAAAGACAGTTGAGGGTTCCAGCGAGGTTGTTACTGGCCACATAACGACACGTTTTCACCAACAGAACAGGCAATTCTTGACCCAAAGGTCATTTGTGTAAAATACTTGTTTCACTTAGTCCAGGAGCACAGTTAGAATCAAACTTTCTTCAAGATTCACCTATCTCCTTTACTTCGTGATCCAGTAGAGGGGTGTTCCTCATTCTTCCTTACACGATACATCTTACACTATAAATTGGAAATACGAACAGGCAAGTTAGAATAACGTTTATTCGTTTTAACAACTCTGTTTTTTGGTCCACGTATGGTCCATTCGTATCACCCCGGAGATTGGTGAAATGCGCACTGCTAATCATTCCGAATAGGGATGAAGCAGCTGTACAGTGCTTCTTCGTTTTCGGTATGGGTTGGCTTCACTTACAGGAAGGAGACGCCGTTGAACATGCGGCCTACGGGGTGCTTACCGGCCTGGTTGTCTGTCTGGGCCCTCTGAGGTTTTCAGATGGCTGAATGTGAGAGCACTGAAAGTGAACCGAGTCAGTTCATACAAGGACTGACTACAGCCCGCCATGTGAGTGCATCCTGGGTTCGGCTTATCGGTGATTCAGGCCCCCAGTCTATGCTAAATGGAAACTGCTGGGTTGACCCTTTTTGTGCCAGCAAGCTGATGATTTTAAAGTGGTTCGTTCCTGTGGACTTTTGAATTCTGGGCCCGATCCCGTTAAGGAGACTAAGGGATACCCTCAATTAAGTCGTTTGCCCTGGGTAAGCATTGCATGATCCTGCAACATTCCAGTCGATTAACAATCAAACCAAACCAACGCCTGAGCGCTGTGATTTTTCCTATCGCTCTTATTTTGAAATGAGGGGAAAGCAGACAATCGGTAGAGACTTGGAAGTGATCGAGAAGTGACTCTCACGAAAAAGCATGAAAATAAAGACATCTCCAGATTGTCTTCGAGCTCGTCTGAGACGGGTAGTGTTCAATTCACTTGAGAGAGCCTGATCATGGTCGACATGTAGATAGGCCCTCATTAGGTCAGATATTAACAGGTTCTTCCCAGAAAATAGGCTTGTGTTCACCGCTACAAAACCTCAAAAGCGAAGGGAGGGTTTTTCTTTCTGCAGAAGAACTGTCATTGACTTGTTCAAAGGTTATGACTACCTGGCATTTCAGTCAGGATCTAGAAGCTGAAAGGGTGGACGCGGTACACAGAAGCATCTAGAATCGGAGAAGAAACGCGTATTTGGACTTTGGATAACAATATACCTAGAGATTTATCCACCCTGATGGTTTGTCCGAAAATATGGAATATTTTCTTGGTCATACATAAAAAGGAGACGGTACAGTGGATAATTATGTTCAACGCTCACAAGTAGAGGGCTTAAGAAAGCACGTTGTTGAAGATTTTAAGCAAATGAACTTTATTCTGGAGAATTCGAGTTTCCTGGGTGTAAAAAAAATTCGAAAATTCAAGATGGTATTACTCGCCATTCCGGAAACAAGACTCGAAATATCCTTGGTTACACCAACGCGTTATTTTACTAATCCCATTTGCTAGCACATAGGGTAAAATCCTTCAACACTTTCTCCTTGAAAAAGAGAAGTAAGAAGAACCGCATTCTGTAATAAATCAAAATACGCTTGAGAACATGAGTAGAACTCATTCCGCAGCACATTTGTCAAGGATAATGTCCTGTTGATCGTGGACGCCACAAAAGATCGTATCTCATCCAGTAACGAGATGATATCAGTACCTTAAGTAATTTTAGCGGTGAAAAGGCCAAAACAGTTTGGATAAATCTCACGCTTTCTTCCAGAAGAGTTTGGTAAACAATCAATGGTTTTACAGCTGATACATTGTGCAGTACAAAATATTTACACATTATTCAACGCTGTTCTTATCGTTTTTTCTTCTGGATTCTTCCTGACAGTAGCCGAGTTAGTGAGGAACTGTCGGTCCTTATATCAGAAACACCATTTCGGGGTACATCATTTGCCGTCTGCTTCGTGAATTACCACTCCCTAGAAGAGGTGAAATAGATTACTCTTTGGTGTTGTTCAGCCAATGGTGGACGGATTAGACATTTGCTGTGTAGCCTGGCTCAACTCTACCAAAACTCACAATATGAATTTTTGTCTTGCTGAATTCGTTACCAACATCATTTTGTCGGTTTTCTTCGTGTGGCGGTACATGTCCAAAGCGATTAACGATAGTTAACAAAATGGGAAAAAATCAATAACCGGGTTTGAAGTGAAACTTATTAGGGTTGTTGGAAATTCGTCGACAGCCCACGAGCGGTTACGCCCTTCTTGGGGCTCATCAGGTAGGCGCAGTCTCCGGGTTTCTGTCAACCTTATGTTCTACTTGGAACCAAATTTCACGAAATGAGCGAATATACACTCATTTGCAAACTAATTTGGTTTTTTTCGAGAGAACCACCTGGAACCTAGATGAATCTCTCGTTTGTGATGTTTCCAGGATCTCTGACGGAAACTCGGGGACTGCGCCTACCTGATGAGCCCTAAGAAGGGCAAAACCGGTTGTGGGCTGTCGACAAATTTTCAGCAACCTTAAGAATAATGTATTACAAATATACATTTACCGCGATATCGCGAATATCTTAGTAACTGAAACATGAGGCGGCCTGGTGAAGCACATCTAGTTGCCTGGACACACCACAAACGAGAGATTCAGCTGGATCCCAGGAGGGTCTCTCGAAAAACCAAATTAGTTTGTAAATGCGTGTATATTCGCTTACTAGGGTTGGTTCAGTAATCAAATTTAAACTGGTGCAACCAATCAAAGGCTTCACTGGCTATAAAATGAGGTGGTTGTCGCACATTAACCGGCGGACCTGGGGCATGAGATTTTTGTTGCCGATATGTATCATCCTCAGTTGTTTCCCAAGAGCTTTAGTGCGCGATCATTCGGGCGAGCAAATTAGCACTGCTTCATGCCAGCTGAAAATGTGTTGCACCTGCGGCGGTACACCGGCTCTAAATGTCATTCACGAAAAGATACTTCTGAAAAAATGATTAAGATGCAAAAATCTACCCGCTTTTTAAATGTCAGGCTTTCAATACAGTTGCCAGCAAGCTCGTGAACAGCTGGATTCTTGCGTGGGCCTTCTGGAACGGCGCCTATCACCATTGTCTGGATTCAGAGATGAGTCACCTCGTCTGGTTTTTGATGTGGCTATAGTTAAAGGATGCAATGAACCCCTAAACAGGATTCATCTAGTAACAAGAGCACACACATACACAGACACATCATGATGAATGTTCTTCCACTCAGATGGCTTAATAACATCTGGTCATTAATTGTAGGAAATTCAGCCATACTTACCGAATTTCTGGATATTCTGTCTCAAAACTAATACTAGGGTATAGTTGGGACTGGAATGAAAGCTCTCGTGTTGCTTTAGGAGCTGGGTTTTATTTTCCCTCTCTGTGATTTGTTCGATATTCACCAGCAGTAACGATGAGAATCTACTGGCTAAACGATTCAAACACAACACCGGCATTTCCACTGCTTCTATCTAGGTTTGGCAGAATCTGATATTACCTTGTTCTTGTTCCTGGTAACTTTGACCCGATTACTTTTTGGAAGATGGATTGTGCCGATGCGAACCTTTAGCTTCCAGAGTAGCTACTGGTGCTTCTCCGGGAGGCGATTTGTGTGAACGAATGTGGCCTGTCCCACGAACTAGTTGTACTGACATTTGTTCTCAACTTTGATACAAATTCTCTACGACTTATTAGGTGTTGATCTGGCCAAGCAACTAAGACTGTTTCCAAATAACCTTGATGCCAGCTAGCTGGTCTTGCGAGCAGAGCATCTTTCTCATTTTGATTGCTCGCTTTAACGTGCCAAACACACGATTGATTCACAACTCTTCCCCTACCCAAAAGCCATCGGTGCACCTCGCACAAAACACAGAGCTTTCATGGCTGGATCAAATGTGGGATTACAACGGGTAGTCAGGGTGGCCCAGTTTTAAGCCATCCCTCTCGCTAGCCTGTCTAAATGATTCTCACGTTGACCCAAATCAGAGCTTGGATGATGGTCAGACACAGAGAATATCACTTCAGTTCCACTGCTGCCAAGCCTCTAATTGATCCGATGCTTCTGGGTCTAGCTGGTACTTAAATTCTTGAATTGCTCCCGGGAGTATAGTCCTTCGGTCAAGCTTCTGTCGCCCCTTTCCGCCCAAAGTTAGATACATGCATTTTCATGAGTATTTATGCATTCAAACTAAGCTTCTTTTCGATCTCTTTGACGGCTTGCACAGTGCATGAAACAGCTTTATCGCGACATCACACGATTCCTAACGGGCCATGAAACGTACCAAAGCAATATGAGGATTATTGATTGCTTTTTCAACGCTCTAACTTCAGTCCACTCGTCCACTCTTGTGGCAACAGTCTCGTCTCATTTTCGTCCAGTCAAACGCGACCACACTAGTTTCCTTAATAAATATACTATTTGAATATTGTTTGAGGAACCTCAGCTTCAATGATTCACCCTTTTTCACAATACCTTTCCCTTGTTTAGCTGGACCGGTCTCCCTATAAAAGGACCATCGATTCGTCTTCGCTATTACAATCCGCACATTAAAAAAACAATAAAAAGTGAAGCGACGAAACCGATAACTATGTGTGTTAATGCTTATCCCCGCTTTCATTATCAGTTCTTTGTAATACACTACTCATAAAGTTTCTGACAACTCTTCGACAGCCCACGACCGATTTAGTTCTCCCTGAGGCTCATCAGGTAGGCAAAATCCCCGAGTTTCTGTCAATTTTTGTTCTACTTGAATCCAAATTGCGCAAAATACACTCATTCGTTACCAGTTTAGTTTTGACGAGAGAACAACCTGGAACGCGATCCAGCTGAATCGCCAATTTATGTATCGCGATATCTCGCGCGAAGCATGAGGCAACCTTGTACAGCACATTCAGTCGCTTAAAAACATCATAAACGAAAGATTCAGCAGGGTCTTATTCCAGCAAGGTCTCCCGTTAAGTCAAATTGGTATGCAAACGAGTGCAACAATTATACGTTTTATTTTACTAACTTATCTGGTATTCAACAGTTCATCCCAAAACGTTTCATTTCTACGTGTGTACTTTTGAATAGTGCTCAAACTACACTAATCTGTGGGGGAAACAGCAGCTGTAGAGGCTTTGCTTAACACTTTCAAACGAATAAGTCATCCGCGAAATTGTCATTCTAGACTTTTGGTTACTTAAGCCAGATTGCTGATTATCAATCAAATCTTCAGCGAACTTGGACAGCACTGGAACAATTTATCGATTTTTATAGACGCGGCATATTTCAAAAAGTACCCTGGCTGGTCCATGCCTCGAATATCATAGTTTGCAAACTTTAAACCTCTCCAACATATCCCCAAAAGTGCAAATATTTCGCTGGACTCGACAGCGAAGCTTCATTTTCCATCTTTTAGTATGGAATCCCTATCCACAATTACTTATTTAGTGACATATTCTTATTATATACTGCGAGTTTATTATTCGCAGAAGTGATTTAATACGACCATCATGTAACAGTTACTCACAATGCAACAAGAAAAATATCGCTAGCTTCGTCTTGAAATAAAGTCCTGTTTTTCTCTCGAAGTATTTTCATTCCACAGGTAATATTATTCGTTCATCTGTAACACATTTTCGGTACCCAGCTGCCATGCTACCCGATGGAAGCATGAAGGCTGGGATACTGACAGTTTGCTCCACCCTAGACAGGGGAAGTCGAGAGGCACAGGTCGGATTCGAACCACGGACCTTCCGTTCAGTAAATTCGCGCTCAAACCACTTGAGCCATCTCACCCCCGGTAACATTATTCAGAAAAAATCCATCCCTTTTTGAGTAATGCAACCAGAAAAAATCTATTACTGCATACGTCAGCAAATGCAAACCAAAAGATTGAAAACCGTGTAAATTGTTTGAGGAAGATATGAGATTGGAGCGTTGTCACCAATAGCGTCTTTAACGGACTTATTACCTGACCACTGTACAAGTTTATCAGAATAATTTTTTTCTATATCCTACCTGATGGAGTCGGTTAGGTAGAATTAGCTTTATTCGATTGAAATGCAATTTTGAATGGTCAAATGGTGCGCTGAATTTGGCCCCGTGTTTCACAGGCACGCCAGATGAGTGAATAATCGCCTCTAGGTGTATGCACACAAAGTAGCCCAGGACATCTGCGGACTTCTATGTTGGGCCAGGATTTTCAACTTTGTAGCATTCGGAAGAAAACCTCTTCAGCCTCCAAAATTTTTCATTGTTTTTTTTTATTTTTATGCGTTCATTTTTTCTAATTTGGTGAATATAAAATGAACCCTATGGATTGAAGCGTACAAATTACGAAGCCGCTATAATCCTCAGCCACGGATGATCGTACACAGATGTGAATGACTGCTTACTTGACAACCCCGATTATCGACTCTCAACTCCATTACTGAGAGTCTGTGAGTAGTAAAGACTGTTGTCAAGTTTTGCACACCAGACAAGTCCATGCTAAAAATGCGCTCGGAACATTATGCTAACCGAAATTCAACCAAAGTAGCTTATACCCACATTTCATTGGCCGGCTACGACTTCCACTGTGGGTCCAATAAGACTACGAGATGCCTCTGGCTTCGTTACCCTGTGCTTATATGGACGGTAACTTGCTCGCAGCTGCGTGATGTGTATCACCACTGTTCTCATCACTCTTGTCTGAACAGTCCTCTTCTAATCCTATTCAGTACACGCCAAAGTCGGAAACACATGGTCGAGTTGCCTTCCCACCGTAGCGCATCAGAGTGGATTCGAACCCCAGACGCCAAACGAAGTAAGCGTCTTACTAACACCCTACCAGTGCAAACCGGACGCAACAAACCGGTCACATTCACCAACTGTAAGCTCCGCCTGCCCACACACGATCTATCAGAGGCGCCCTGTGTGCTCTGGTGCCTTAGTCTTGTCCCTTCAGTGTCACGAATTCGAATCCTGGCACAGCTAAAGAAACTTGCTGTCTATGAGGTTTAATGGGAACAGTACTTTAGTAGAGTGTTCCCAGCAAGAACAACTGACCCAGTGTAGAATTAGAACTGTTGCGACTACAAAACGTTCACGGCATTTTAAACCAATAAAAGATAAAAGGAAATTCTAGAAAGTTCTGCAAACACCGACCTTTAGTTAACAGAATAAAGTTTTTCCTTAGGTAGCTTGTGCCTCACCATAAAAGTGCACAATTTGTCCAGACCATTCAAGATATTTGTGCACTTTTACAATAAGTGATCGCAATTAGCTGACGACCGGTGTAGTTTGTATCAAAGGCAGCCAGTCCATCATACAATATATGGTATCATCCGTTTACCATATTATGTGAGAACCTTTCTTTCCAGATCCATACTCACTCATCTAAAATTCGCAGTTATTTTTTGAGGAGTCACTCATTGGATTTCTAAACGTTGAAAAGTCACTAGTTTATTGTAGATTACAACGCGTTTCCTTGAGA